TACCCACGAACGATCCACAACCCCTCGTACCTCCCTGTCACACCTCACTACCGGAGATGCCTTCCCCCTTCGACTTTACGGTTGCTTCCATGCGACCTCCTTCCTTCGTACCCCTTATGCCACCTCCTCCGCCGCCTCCGACCTTGCGAATCGATCAATGAAGCGCCACCTGCGAGACTTCCCGCTTCCTTCTCACCAATCTCCCTTTGTTTCGTCGCCTTCGTTCCACCCAAGTTTGTCAAGATCGGGATCCTACGTAGGATCGTTTTTGGGTTTGCAAGATCGGGATCGGGATCCTAAGATCCCACAAAATAAATTTTAATTTTAATTTATAATTTTTAATCATGAAAAATATTTCAAACTTCAAAATATTAGTCATAAGTCACAACACAAAATGATAAATGGTAAATTGGTAACGAGTAAAAGACATAAAGTGGTAAAAAAAAATTCATTTGCAAAATAATAATAAATCAAGGGAAGGTAGGATCGGATCTCGATCCTACGATCCTACCTACGATCTTACGATCCTACCTGCGATCCTACCCCAAATACGATCCGATTACGATCTAGATCGTTTTTCATACCTAGGATCGTAGGATCGTACGATCCTACGATCGGGATCGCGATTTTGACAACCATGGTTCCACCTGCTGGAAGCTTTCGTTCATTCCTTTATTTGCCCGTTCAATTTGCTGGAGCCGTTTGATGAACGAGACGAGACCTCGACCTAAAATAAAAGTGTGTTCTTGATTTTGACCAAGTCAAAATCAAAAGGGAATCAAACTTGAATTTAAATTATTCAAAAGTTACCCTCATTTGACAAATACTTTACAAGATCAACCCAATCCTCAATCATTGAACCCATTTATTCGAAGCGAACCCATCGGTGTACCGGAAAAACGAGCATACAATGTATCGCCTTACAAAAGTACTACATGATCTAAGACAAGTACCTCGAGCATGGAAAACGAAGCTTGATGGGATTTTGAAGAGCATGAAATTTCAAAAGTACATGAAAGAACCATCGGTGTACCGAAAAAACGAAGGAGCTAACTTGTTAATTTTAGCAATTTATGTTGATGATTTATTTGTCACAGGTACAAGTTTGAGCATGATTAAAAGATCCAAGATGGAAATGTCAAAGAATTTTGAGATGTCGGATCTAGGGAGATTAAATTACTAACTTGGCATTGAAGTTAAACAAGAAGAATCGGGGATTACTAAAGTCGGTTTACATGATTGCAATCCGACCCACATTTCAATGGAATCGGAAAATAAGTTGTCGAAGGCCGAATATGGCCCCGAAATCGACCCAACATAATATCGAAAGGTGGTAGGATACCTTAGATATCTCTTGGAAACAAGACCTGATATGACATACACGGTTGGAGTTGTAGCTGACACATGCAAAGTCCAAGAGAATCACATGGCGGTGCAACTAAACACATCCTAAGTGTGACATCCCCAAATTTCTCAGCCAGAAAAGACCGATTTAGTTTATGCTTTTAAAATAAAATCAGAGTAATCTTTCAAAAAGGTGTTGCGGAATTTGTTCCCAGAAAAACATGATAAATATATTATCAAAGCATTTTTGAAGAAATTTATTTTGTTCATATTAAAACTTTGGGATGTCATCGTCAATACTGAAACATAAGCATAAACAGAACTTACATTCATTTACACTAGTGATCTACTTCTCTTTTAATCTCTCAGTGTAAAGCAACTTCGTATCGATACCTGTGATACAAATAAACTAAGTGGGTCAGGCTTGGGAGCCTGGTGAACATATAGGGTTTTCAACCCACAATAAATAAATTTATTATGTTTAAACATCAAACAATCAACCCAATTTCCCATCCCCATTATCTCTTTTATTCATAAGGACCCACCTTAAGAAATCAGCTATTCCTCGTTCATTCATTCCTAAGGATTAACCTAAGAAATAAGCACGAAGTCAACCTTTGCCTATGGCGCAACTGCCAATGTTATTTATTAGGCGCAACTGCCAACAACATCATTTATTCTCTAATTGGTTATTTATTAGGCGCAACTGCCAACAACATCATTTATTCTCTAATTGGCACAGATGCCAATGTTGTTTATTAGGCGCAGCTGCCAACAACATCATTTATTCTTTAATTGGTTATTTATTAGGCGCACCTGCCAACAACATCATTTATTCTCTAATTGGCACAGCTGCCATTGTTGTTTATTAGGCGCAACTGCCAATGTTATTTATTAGGCGCAGCTGCCAATAACATCAATATCATCTTTCATCCCTCATTTTTTATCTACCCACGTTCTACCCAACATATTCGTAGATATAAAATACATATATAGTTTAGAATCTGTATAAACCAATCTTTCATCTACCCATGTGTTACCCAACATATTTGTAGATATAAAAATACATATACGGTTTAAAACCTGTATAAAATATTCATTCATCATCCATCTCAAATAAACAAACAACATATATACACATAGCACGTATTTTATATAAAATACTTCATATATATGTGTAAGATGAAAGTGACTATACACTCACTTGTTAAGAAGACGATTGGACAGTACTTCGGCTCTAAAACTAATATTCTTCGATGAAACCGGGATGTTTTCTCGAAAACCGGGCTTCACGCGGGCAGAGTTTCGGCTCGAAAACTCTTTTTCTCGGGATCTTAGGGGCGTCGGGACTTGCTTCGGGTGTCGATATGTAACCGCGGTGTCGGGGCAGTGTAGAGGAGCTTAAAGATGAAAAAAATAGGAGAGAGGTTAGAAAATGGCAACCAAATCCGGAGAGCTTCGATTCCTATTTATAGGCTGAAAAATCACATTCACGTCGTGAACCAGGTATATTCACGTCGTGACTTTTGATCCTGGTCATCCCCTAGGCTTGCTGTGTGTCTTCTAGCCTCGAAAGGTGTCGTTCACTGAGTTCACGTCGTGAACACTGTGTTCACGTCGTGAACGCAGTCAGGTCTCGAAGTTTGTGCTCCGAACTTCAGAAATTCATATCTTTCGCATACGAACTCCGTTTTTGACGTTCTTTATATCCACACGTAAGTGAAATTATGCACTAAAACTTTCGTTTAGACTCCGTTGGCTAATTGTGAATTTATTTTTAATATTATATTTTTAACGGGCCGGGACAGGAAAAGTCCGTTAAAAATTCATAACTTCTTCATCCGACGTCCGTTTTCGTCTGTCTTTTTACTGTTGAACTACTATCAACAAGATCTTCGATTATCGTTTAGATTGTTTCGGCTAAAAATCATTCGATCTAAATTTCGAGTTTTTAGCTGTCTACTGCTATACCGAAACTTAGAAAAATCATAATTTCCTCATATGAAGTCAGATTTGGACGTTCTTTTTATGCACACTCTTGGTTTAACGAACTTTACGACTTTAGTTTAGATCACTAAAGCTAAGAATCATTCTATCGTAAATTCACTATTTACGTCGCACTGTGTCGTGCCGGTTTTGTCGCGAAACTTCGACGGGTCATAACTCCTTCGTTATAACTCGGATTTCGGCATTCTTTATATATCCGGAATCCTTGTAACATATACTACGACTTTTATTAAGACTATTCATTCTAAATAATCTTCTATCAAAAATTCGTTTTCGACACTTATTGTCTCTTAATTGACTAGTCCTGATCTACGGGCGTTACACTAAGGTACTTACGAGGAACAACGAGATACAAAATCAAGTACGAGGGGATGGGACAAAACCGACTCACTGGTTATAGTGATAGTAGTCACAATGTTGACCCAGATAGCGAAGAAAGCACAACCGGTCACATTTTCTACTATGAGTAATCTCCAATAACATGGTTCTTGCAAAAGCAAGATATCGTTGCTTTATCATCTTGTGAGGCGGAGTTCATGGCAGCCACTGCGGCTACATGTCAAGCAATATGGCTTCATGATTTGCTAGGAGAAATCATGAACAAAGCGCAAGAGAAGGTGGTTCTAAGAGTTGATAACAAGTCGGCTATCTAACCAACGAAGAATCCCGTTTTTCCTGGAAGGAGCAAGCACATCAACACAAGGTTTCACTTCATTCGTAATTGTGTTGAAAACGAACAAATGGATGTGGAGTACATTCCCGGTGAAGAACAAAACGCGGACATTCTTACTAAACCACTAGCTCAAACCAAGTTCAAGGAAATGTGGAGCTTGATCGGGATCAAAGGCATCTCTTGAAAGACTTAGAGATGCGGGGGTGATTGTTGCAATCCTAAGTCGATGATGAACTTGGAGGCCAGACAATCAAACTGTTTTATGGCAAATTGGTCATAAGTTTCCTAGTTTAATACAAGTTGGTTTGTTAGACTACATATACATGTCTATAATCAAGTTTAGGATTAAGAGAGACATATTGTAATCAATTAGGCTTGAATTATTTTTCCTATTAATCAAAGAGTAGTTTGGTTAAACATTGTTTGCAATCACATTTTCTAAGCTTGAAATTAATATTTTTTTTCTTTGAGATCAATTTCGATTCTCTCCAACAGTTTAAACAATCTTTTTAATTCTTTTAAATATGGTGAAATTGTGGGGCTTCTGCATTTGGTTATAAAATCTTATCTTTGACATGTCGTAAAATTTTAATGTCAATGGCTGAAGGAAAGTTTCATAATTGTTGGGTAGAACGGTAGATGATGGTGACAGTAAAAAAAAATAATAATACAATCTACTTAACAAGTTGTATATAATCATTTTCAATGGACGGTATTCAACTATCTAAGCAACCATTAGACATCAAGTTACAATGAATAAGACATATTTGTTTTGAAAAAGACTATAGTTTAATCTTCCCTCCACTTGTTGTATCTTTATCCAACCCAAAGAATATGGAAAAAAAAGCAACCAATCAGTAACTAATGCTTTTAATATTTTAGCATCAATAATTGAAACAAATAACATGGATCCTTAAACAAAAACAAATATAAACTACACAATTTTGTTTATCATTTGTAAAATTCAAGTCAAATAAGAAAAAATTGGTTCATTTATTCGAACTTTCTTTTATTTACTTCGCTATCATACAAAATATAATCCATATATTCTAATGGAGATGTGTGGCCAACAACTCAACATACACCCAATTCAAATGATTTCGCACTAAAAAAGATTAAAGAATTTCAGCAAAGAACTTTGGTAGACTTCGTTCATCCCACCATGTGCATGATTCGATAGACTTCAACTAAACGAAGACTTCCAAAAGCGAATCCATTGATTAATTCAAAAGCTACGTTGCTTTTCGGAGACAATTCGAATCCTCAATTGTTGCTTTCAGGAAAGTAATTGTGAACCGCAAATGATCCTGTTTCGCTTAATTTAATCCAGGTTTGTTTATCTGAATCATTCATCTAGATTCATCAGTTCATCTCGTAGTTCCCTGTAAAATTGCGGATTAGATCAATTTCAGTCCAGTCCAGTCGAGTATCAGTGACTGACGCTTAATTCAATCTTCATCGGTGGTTGTTGTTCGATTGAATTTCGCAGATCTAGGTTGATCACTGTTCGTAAACCCAAATTTGCTTTGCTTAACAATTTAGTTATTAGAGATAAATCGTTAGATATTCCGGTGTCGTAATCCGTGGGTTGACGTACATCTGTCGAAAACAAATTTGCCATAGAAAGGTTGTTGTCTTCTTCTTTTTTCTTCTTTTTTTTTTTAAATGAAATAGGCAAATTTGTAGTCGTGCACGAAATAAATGCAGATAAAATTACTCTACAAATGTTATGTCGGCGAAGCTTCTTCGTAACCGCTTGCTAGGGTTCGTGGAAGACACCATTGTTCTAATCTCGTGAACTCCTAGGTTTATAAGTATCGTCTTCGTGTAATTTCCAGTCTATCTTCCTCTGTTAGCAATTCAAAACATACCATAAATAAGGCGTTTCATTCCATCTTAGGGGTTTTACATTCAAATCGTTACAGTTTACTTTCGAGAAGGTTGTTTCCAGAAAGATTATCAATCGGAATCTTGCAGATAACTTGATTTATTTCCGTTCGTATTGGATGGGGGGCAGAAGTTCAAGAGAGGAGCGTCCGACTGACAGACAGTCACCATCGTTCCAATCAACATCATCTTTTACTGGAAGTCAATACGGAAACTATCCTCAACAATCTTATTCAAATCCGCCACAAGACGTTCATAATTATCCTGTTCGTGAGGCTTATCCTGCTTATTCACAACCTTATCATGCACCCGCACCCGCACCTGCACCTGCACCATCACCATCACCATCACCATCTGGTCAACCCCATAGACCACAGAGGAGGCTTGACCGGAGGTATTCAAGGATTGCAGATAATTACACTTCATTGGAACAGGTAGAATTTCATCAATCTCTTTTTCTTACACATTTTGCAAGATGTGATGTATCCTATTCCTATCCAATGGTCACCGGATATGTCAATCTTATATAGAATTTGGATAATGGATTTTGTCTTTTGTGTTTGGATGAATTCTGGTATGCTGATGATTCTTGGAGAGATCTTGTTTTCGAAAATCTGTCATACTTTTGTAATATTGTGCATTGTATTGTAGTCTGTGCAAGTTGTTGCTAAAAAAATTGTTTTTTTTGGTGGAACTTGTATGATAGTGGAAATTAGCACATTCATATGGATTATTATCTTGTAGCTTTAGTTGAAAGCTTCCATTATTAATAGAATGACACTTCCACTTTTTTTTCACAGGTTACTGAAGCTCTTGCTCGTGCAGGGCTCGAATCTTCTAACCTAATTGTTGGTATTGACTTCACTAAGAGCAACGAATGGACTGGTAACATTTACGTTATTACCCTTTTTGTTCTTATTCCTTCATTGTGATGTGAAACACACTAAGTCTAACTAACCATTTACTTACAAATAGGTTCAAGGTCTTTCAATAGAAAAAGTCTACATCATATTGGAGATGATTTAAATCCGTATGAACAAGCAATAACCATTATCGGGAAAACATTAGCTGCCTTTGATGAAGACAACTTGATTCCCTGTTATGGTTTTGGAGATGGTATAATAGTAATTTAATCATTACTCTTTACAATTCATAATCCAATAAAAATATATATCTTACAATTTTTTGTTACAAAATGGCAGCATCAACACACGATCAAGATGTTTTCAGTTTTTATCCAGAAGAAAGGTTTTGTAATGGATTTGAGGAAGTGTTGAGTAGATACAGAGAAATTGTCCCTCATTTAAAGCTTGCAGGTTTGAGATCTTAAACTCTATAATTTGTTTCCTTTGAATACTATGTAAAATTTACCATTTTGCCCTTTTAACCTCTATGTTGTATTTCATGTTTTTTTTTTTACAGGACCAACATCATTTGCCCCTGTCATTGAACAGGCTATGACTATCGTTGAACATAGTGGGGGCCAGTATCACGTGTTGTTAATTATTGCAGATGGGCAGGTGATTTTTTTTTTATAAATCTAATCTGTAACACTTTTACAAAATTTCCACAATTAACCTTTAATTAAATTTAAGGTAACAAGAAGTGTTGATACTGAGCCTGGTAATTTGAGTCCACAAGAACAGAGAACTGTCGACGCCATAGTTGAAGCAAGGTGCTTATAATTTATAATTTATATAATAAAAGTAAAGTATTATAATTTATATTTTATATCCTTTATTTTTTTATACAGTAAGGTTCCACTATCTATCGTATTGGTTGGAGTTGGAGATGGGCCATGGGATATGATGAAAGAATTTGACGACAATATCCCCTCTCGTGAATTTGATAATTTCCAGGTCAGTATTTGTGTAAAAAGACATGAATGCCCTTGACTGTCATCCAATAATGTTAATCTTGTTTGTTTGTTTTTTGGATGTTAGTTTGTGAATTTCACAGAAATCATGTCCAAGAATGTGGCTACAATCCGTAAAGAGACAGAATTTGCTCTTAAAGCTTTGATGGAAATTCCTGCTCAATATATAGCAACACTCGAACTGAATATATTAGGGTAAAATTTACCTTTTTACCCTCTTGGTTAAATATTTATTTATTTATTTTGTTGGACTTGGATTGGATGTTTTGTACAGGAGCCGCAAAGGAGTTTCGCCACATAGGATTGCCCTTCCTCCTCCGGTTCATGGTGCATCATCTTTTAGCCGCTCAAAACCATCGCACTCAAGTAGCTTTCAAAAGGGCTCACAATCGTATTATGACCAAACTACCCCTGCCCCTTATTATCATCAAACTAGTCTTCCAAACAGGGCTCCACCTGCTCCTGCTCCTACTCCTAGTTCTACTTATGACAATCAGGTGCATTTTAGTCTTTTGGAGTTTTGACTTTTAACTTTTAAGAAAAGGTTAATTGCAAAAATTTAATTATTTATATCTATATTTTATGTAGGTATGCCCCATTTGCCTTACTAACCCCAAGGATATGGCATTTGGCTGTGGTCATCAGGTAATACTATCACATATTATTATTAATTTTTTTGTACATTTTTGGTCCCTGAGTGTAACTAATTATTTCAATTTTGATTCCAAAAACTTTTCTCTTGCAATTTTGGTCCTTATTTTTTCCAAGTAATATTTTTGGGACCAAATTTGCAAAACCAAAAATTGACATTTCACTTAGAAAAACGTTACGGAAACCTCAAAATTCAAATGAAGAGACTACAATTGCAAGAGAACTTTTTTGGGACCAAAATTGCAAAAATCAGCTATAATCAGCCAGGGACCAAAAATGCAAATATACTATATTTATTATGTATTATGGAGATGTCTATATATATTTGACAAAATTGCAAAAATGGTCCCTGTGGTTGGCAAATTTATGTGCTTTCGGTCCAAAATGAAATGTTGGTGGTCCAAATTTGGATATCTTGTGTAGTTTTGGTCCTTATGGTTATCATTTTTTGTGGTTTTGGTCCATACCCTATCTAAAATGAGGATTATGCCCTTAACTGATTGTTTTTTTAATTTAGTTCCTATTATTTTAATTAAAAAAACCAAAAAACCCACCCCACCTCTCTTAAGTAACACCCCACCCCCAACCCCCTCTTTCTCTCTCTCTCTAATGTTGTTAAAGACCCATCACTGGCCTTCAACCCACTGCCTCCACCATCGTCGACCATTGCTACCTCAAAAACTTCAATCAACCATCGTCACCACATCTTCCTTCCTCAATAGATTCGCATCCATAAAAATCCATATCATATCAGGTGTTTGTGGTGGGACATGATTGGGGCACAACTGTCGCTCGGCATCTAGTCTTTTCCGGCCAGATAGAGTCAAGGGAATCATTTCTCTCGGTATTCCATTGTTTTCTAGATCCCCAAGCATGTAGAGTGTAGTCTGATTTTTTGTGCATCTTATTGGTTTCACAACATAAACAATGAAAGATCAAACCCATTTCGTAATCAACGAGAAAGGGAGTGGCAGAAAGCCGCCCTTGTTTATCTATTCGAGCCACCATAATCAGTCGCCATCTCCATCACCGTTATCATAACACCACCACCTGTTAAATCTGCATCACAAAAAAAAAATCCCACCTACCCCACCCTAATTGTCGGAGAAGACAACCGGTTAACATCTTCTCCCCAAATCAAACTGAAATTCGATACTAGACCACACCACACCAAATCAAGAACAAACCTGAGAATCTTTTCAGGTAAAAAAACTTAGCCCCCTCTAAATCCAAAATCGAAAATAATCAGCCCCCGTCGAGAAGGCGTGACAAACGCAGGTGGTTGGGGAGATTGTCGACGATGGTTTTCTAGTTCACTGGTGGTGAAAAACGTTGGAGCTTCTAGAGCTCTTTCTCAGCCGGTGATGGTGATGGGGGCGAACGTTGATGGCAGGAGGAGGTCAGGTGGAGGTGTTCTTGATGGTATGTGTTTGTCTGTGTTTTAAAGAAGTAGCAACAGACGAAGGGGGGAGAGAGAGGGCCCTTCTTTTAGAGTAAATTATCTTTTTTTTTTTTATATAATAAATAATAAATGAACTAAAAGAAAAGGAAAACGGAATTTAGGAGGGGTATAAAAGTCTTTTCAGGTGTAAAGGGACCAAAATCATTAAAAAGATCCAATTTTGGACCAAAAGCACATAAATTTGCCAACCACAGGGACCATTTTTACAATTTTGTCTATTTCATATTTGTGCAGACATGTTGTGAGTGTGGAGAAACTCTACAGCAGTGCCCAATTTGCCGAAGCTCAATTGAAACAAGGATAAAATTATACTAATAAGTAATAATAAGCTTATAAATTGGGTTGGTTTGTGTAATGTGTAATGTGTTGATGGTATGGTTATTACTTACTATTAGTGTTAGCCTAGATTCTTTTGGTGGCCGGATATGTTTTTGCACATTCTGTTTGGTGATTTTTAATTAAGTTTATATGTTGCTGAGTTGCGTTGCGTTTGTGGATTTGTAAATGAAAATGGATACTCATCACTCATGTCATATCATGTACAGTTTTTCTAAAACTTTGTTTGGAAACTTTTATTATTGTTATTATTATTTATTGACATTGATGGTATTTAGATTATTTTATCTTCTGTCGACCCACAATATGTCTAGTATCATTGGTTTTCAACTAAATCATACTTTTTCATGTCATTATAATTTTCATAAGGTTCATAATGTTGGTAAATGTTTTGGAATTCGAAATGCTACTTTTGAATATTTCTAATAAAAATAACATCATGTATTCGTGGGTGTAACGCAAAAGTAACTTTTTTAGTCTGATGTACCTCGAAAATGTGGCATTTTGGACTCTATGGACGTTATTTGTATCTCGGAAATGTTCTTTATATTATTACGGGCTCTATACTATTAACTTGGATTTTCTTTCATTATCTTGATACAAGCCAAGAATAATCTATGAGAAATCTAAAAAAATTGTCGTTTACCATTAGATAATCTAAAAGAGTTGCGAATTAAATTATGATTTGTTCAATTCCTCAAATCCTAGACCTAGTTCGCCTAGCAAGAAAGTAGAAACCTATGGGAACCATTTTATTATACATCATTTTATATAAATGAAAGTATTTAGTTTTTCATATTTATTTATGATGTGACATGTTTTTTTTAAATGAAAGTCTATGCTCAATGTCATGTACAACCCAATCCTTCTTTGTTTTGAATTTTTTATTTTTAATTATTTATTGAAGATGGTATTTGGATTCTTTTATCTTTTGGAAATGGTTTATTAATTAAGTCATGTTATATCATATACTCCTTTTATGTAGTAATTTCTTTCGGATGATGGAGTATAACCTTTTCTTATTTGATAATCATATCTTGATCTTCATCTGAGGGTCATGCCAATGGGTCGGGTAGCATGGGCAACGACTAATGGCCTCCAAATTTCTAGGATCCTATATATATATATATATATATATATATATATATATATATATATATATATATCGGTTGAGTGGAAAAATAAAAGAAAATTGGGTTAAAACAAAATCAGCATTGCAGGCTTAGGGCCGTACACTTTTTCTAAAATAATCATCGTATTGATCTTTTCACCATCATCGATCGAGGGACTCTATGAATCAATTCTAATTTTTTTTCAACGGTAACAAAATAATCGATTCTGGTTTTTACGTAGCCTTTTGATTTTCGATTTCAATTTATGTTTTCTGATTTCTAATTCAATCTTTCTTAATACACCAATTTTGATAATAAAATTTCACACATCCTTAAAAAAATCGATCTTAAATTTGTGTTAATCTGATTTCATGCAACTTCACCGATTTGATTTTTGATTTCTGATTCATCTCTTAATTTGATTTTTGATTACTGTTTCGACTCAATCTAATTTTTTATTCATGTAAATCATAAGATTTAGTTATCGTTTTTCAATTCTTTCATGTTAGTTATCTGATAAAAAGTTAATTCATATGTTTTCATTGCCTTTACTTGATTCTTTCTTATTTTTTATAAGTTTAAAATAATAACATGTTGCATAGAAAACATTTATCTGGTCGTGAGAAAAAAAAAAACAACTAATAATATTACAAAAACAATCTAAAGAGAAATTTATCACAAGTGTTTATTAAAAAAAATTAATAACTTTTTTACTAGCATGGATATCTCCAACCCTCCACCAAAAATCAATTTTTACACCATTTTGATGTGGAGTCATCTCCAACCCCACTTATTTTTCACACTATTTTGATGTAAACTTAGTATTAACACCAAATTTTATGTTATATTATTCATTTACAATAAAATGATGCAAAACTTTTATGTGCCACTTTTTGTCCCTCCTATTTGATCTCTATTCAATTTTAATCATATACTAACTTGTTATCAATTAATTATAATTATAAAAGTTAATCTAAATTTATGTTATATATTAAATTGATATTAATGAGTCATAAATATAAAACTAAATATTAATGTTTTAGATTTATGTAACTTTTTTAATTAACAAATGTCATTTTAATAAAACAACATCTATTTCAAATTAGCAATATACAAATAATTAATTTGGTTTTAATTTTGTAATGAAAATATTTTATAAATTCTTCACAAGAAAAAGATGTATATAAACATGTTAAAAACTAATTAGTTGAAAGGTGTGTTTGACAAATTTATATAAGTTCAAAAAAAAATATATTATGGACTATTTTTGTAGGGGGTAAAACATGGTATAAAAACTGATGTAAGGTTTGAAATGGTCTAAGGGTCTTAATTTTTATTATTATTATTATTATTTTTTTTGGCCTGGAGCATCAAATCGGCATGGAACGGCACCAGATTATCCTTGCACAAATTGTGGATGTAATTATAGAGAAGAATTACTAATAACATAAAAGGCCTAATCATCAGCCGAAATGACCATTATGTTTGAAATGAGTCCATTTTGGATTTCAAATATATATAAAGTGTATTGCTCTTCCATTTGCATATGCACACGCAAACACCCCCGCCCCATCGATCTTTGCCTTTAATATGTCTAATATCACTAGTTTTTGGTTTCGATAAGTTTCATCATAGTGGTAAATGTTATTTGGGTTTTGGAATTTGAAATGCTACTTTTGAACATTTCTATTAAAAAAATATTTCTCTGGTTGTTATATTCATGGGTGTAACAAAAAAAAAAAAATCAAGTTTTAGACGGATGTACCTAAAAAATATGGCAGACTCTATTTTGTAGACGTTATTTGTATCTCGAAAACATTCTTTATATTTCGGACTCTATTCTATTAACTTAGACTTTCTTTTATTATCTTGATACATGCCAATAATAATCTAAGAAGAAATCTGAAAAATCGTCGCTTACTATTAGATAATCTAAAAAAGTCGCCAATTAAATGGTGATTTTTTTAATTCCTCAAATCCTAGACCTAGTGCGCCTAACGAGAAACCTAAGGGAGACGTTAGGATATAGGGTGGAATGTGCCACGATAAAAGAACTACTGAAACAATTATGATTGATCGGTCCATAACCATTCCATCGAGTATGTTAGAGTCTACTAGGGTTCGGGTTTAGGGTTTTATTATACATCATTTTATATAAATTAAAGTACTAAGCTTTCTATATTTATTTATGATGTAACATGAGTTATTTGAAAAAGAATCTAATAAATATAGTTATTTTTAGTTACATAAACATAAAACTTCATTACAACGAGAATTAATAACATGATAGTGTTGACATTGTGAATGCCAAATAAGAATTTGATCACAAAAAAGGTACGATGGTGAAGTGTATGTGTTTCATCTACGTATGCAGCTCGATACACCGTTAACGTGAAAAAATGAACAAAATAGTAAAAGTGTGTGAAACCTAGTGATCTCATTGTCGGTATCACATGAAAACATGTTATACCAGAGCATCGTCATTTCCTACATTCACAAGTCATATATTGTAGATTGACAACACCATGTTTGCCATAATCATGTACTTCAAAGATGTTGTCGATGTGTGTATACCTTACATGTTTAGCATTTGAGCACTATATGTGCATAAGGGGTGATTGGATTATGAAGTTCTGCTACAAAAAATATTAACATCCTTTTTCGTACAATGCAATAAAAATAGTTTTATATCGATGTGTGTGTGTGTGTGTATATATATATATATATATATATATATATATATATATATATATATATATACTAGGTTTAAACCCGTAGAAACCACAGTTGAGAAAAAAAAATAATACTATTGATAATTCAAATCGTAATGACTAATCAAAATTTTGCAAAAGAAACATTAGTTTACAAAGATAAAAGTTCTATCATAATTTGGGGTTTTAGATGTCTTATTAATGAGTTGTAATGTAGGAAAAAAAAAAAAAAACTTTTCCAGAGCATATAAAAATAATCCGAAACATCTTTTTTTTAAAAAAAATACAATGTTAATATGTAAATAAGCACATATTTAAAAAATTCCAAAAGGGAACATATTGATTTTAGTTTGAAGCCCCTAAGTTGCATCGAGTTCTTATAAATGACAACAAATCAAAAACAACTAAAATGATTTCCTCCGGTTGAGCTTCATATATTGAATTCTCATGTTGAACCAAGTGCGCTGCTATTACTAATAAGGAAATGAAATTACATTGATATATACAAATCTGCTAAAACATATGTCAGATGTTTATAAGAAAATGTTTGGTTCTCTTTACTAATAAGGAAATGAAATTGCATTAAATGCATAAATTTTGCTTCTTTTTACTATAGACTGATGGAGATGTAAAGCAAAAAAAAGTAACAACATCATAGCACAATATAATTATAATACCACACAAGTTTTAAGTAAATGCTTCACAAAGCTACATAATTTACCTGAGTATATCGAATTCAAATCTTAAAATTCATAAGCAATAATGGAGACATATCCTTTTAGTAGCAAATGTGCAACTTCATGCTTGTTAAACAGGTTTTCTCATGCATACCTAAATCAATTAGCAAATATATATCTCTTCAAAAATCAACCAAAATAGATAAACAAAACACCATCTGACTTAATAAAAATATATACATTTAATAGATAAACATGAGTTGGACACTCCAATTTGGAAATTCACTGTATTTCTAATACGTTCCCAGGTGAAACCCAAGAACTTACCTGCAATTCGAGTTACAGGAAACTCCTAAAACGCCTCAAGGCTTCTTTTTTATTGATTGAATAATCTAAACAGAATCTATGGAGCACCTTTTATAGTGTCCTGCTAAACAATAATCCTAAAATAACTCAAACAGCCAGCAAAGCAATCCTATAAAAGATAAAGACTGAATTTAAAAACATAATTATCCTATTCTAAATTATTCCTGCTGTGCCTTTGATAAACTTGACCAAACCTACCAGATTGGGTCGTAACATTACTCCCCTCCCAAACAACCACCTTGTCCTCAAGGTGAAAATCTGGAAACTGTTGCTGTATCACATCAAACAATTCCCATGTAGCCTCATAAGTTGGTAAATCCTTCCACCTGATTAAAACCTCC